AAGCAGTGCCTGTTACAGCACACTTTCTGAGACAAGCCCCCAAAATGCCTTCAGTGTAGTCTTTGCCCCAGCATGACTAAGAATCAAATCTGGAGGATATGTGCATAATGTCACTTTTACAAAAATCTCTTCTCAAGTCCAGACACATCACTGACATTTTAAGCTTTTAAGAGGCATTATCAGCCTAAGCTTAAAGCTCTCTGGAGTAGAAAAGCCCCCTGCTTTAGCAAAGTCCCAAATATTTATTATTTTATCTGACTAGATTGAGCATAGGTCAGACTAAGCACACCACAGACCTGTCCACAGCAGAAATCCCAAAGCATGAACTAGAGCTGCCTGTATCCAACCAAACACATGTGCACCACTGGGTTCAGAGTGCTTATGGACACACTGGCCATACGCTGAGAACAGCAAAATATTTAAAGAAAAAGAAAATGGATGTAAAGAAGACCCCTCCCGCAGTTTTTGTTGTCAAGATACGTGTGTTTGCAGTGAAACCTTCAGAGAAACAGTTTCTTTTCTTCCCCTGGTTTTATATTCAACCAACTAAGAGAAGTAAATTATTCTGCTTTAGCTCAGGCACAACCCTCAAGACACTGTCTTAACTCTGCATCTGGAAAGCAAATGAACAGTAATGCTGATAATTTTTAACGTGAAATACAGGGACAGAAGAGTTCAGAAGAGGTCTCTTAAAAAAGAGAAAGTAAAAACTGACAAAATGAAACGGAGTGGTAGCCTAAAGCATTTCATAACTGAGATAAAGAATAACTGCGACGAAAGAAAGCTCGTGGCAAGGAATCATGAGTTTATACTGGACTGTAAATCTATTTAAACAAAGGGCTAGAAGGACAACATCATCATCTAGATTTGTATTAGCCTGTCACAGAGCATACCATTAACTGCAAACTTGTCTCTCAGCAGGCCCTAATTTACGTGTGCTCACGATGATTCTATTTCATTGAAAACGTCAACAAAGTTGTGCCTGAAATTCACCTCTGGGTTCAAGATTTTTTTTCCATAACAGAAAGACAGAACAAAATCAAAGCCTAGTTAACCAAAAACGTGAGATAATTCGAATCCCAGGAGCTGAATTCACCAGTCTACACATACGCACAACAGCAGTTTCCCTGCTACTGCACAAAGAACAGAAAAGCTTCTTGTAAATGTTTGGTCATTTAAAACAATGTTAATTTTAATCACATTCTTCAGTAAACTTTAAATACTAATTTGCAGAGTTTGTTTTTTTTTTTAAACTATATTTTCTGATACCAATTTGCTAGAGATATTTACAGCACCTTCAATGGCATCACTCACTTGTGATTAAAATATCAGGAACAGATATAGATAAATATTTGTTGTCTCTGAATATTAAAACCCATAAATAAACAAAAAATAGGCATCAACTGAAGAGTGGGAAACTTAACTTGGTTTACTGTTTGAAAATATAGAGAGATCTAAAAAGAAATTACAAAAGATCAAATTTTCCAAGCTGTATTTCCAAAGCAATGCTGAGAACAGAAAGGAGGGCACAAGATTTTGAAGACTGAGGTTATCTTTACACAAAACAAGCACTGTCAGAAAGCTTTGATGTTTTGTTCAGCTAAACCTCAAGCTTAACATCACTGAAATCTCTGCCTCGGTTTTGTTCTGAGCAACTTCTAAGAGTAGAAGGTTGATGCAGAAGCTGACTGGAAATTCCATTACTAAGTCTTTAACATGAATGCAAGTTTACAGTATTTTGGCATTGTTTGAGATGTTTCTGAGCCCCAACTATGGAAGAAAAGTTTTAGAAGGAAAAAAAAATCATATATACTGTTTGTAGGGCATAGGACTAAGTGAAATTAAGTGAACTCCCCTTATTGGCATTTATCTTGTGTGTTTTATAATTCATTGGTCATTTAGGATTCTGTCACTAAGCATTTTTCTTTAACAACTAGAAACCAGAAATGCACATTGCTGACTCTAAGTTTAAATTGCCTAATTAAAAGGCAAAATTCCCCCATGTCTTGGGATGAGGCCAACACTGTGTTGCCTGTTTTTTCTGCCTGATTTCCTTTGGTGGTGGAGAGGTCCTCTTGAAATGTATAATCTGGAACTACTGCACCCTATCCTTCAGTACACATTGGAAGAAATATAAGTGCAAGATCTGTCAAAAGGGATTGTCCATATACTGCCTTTTTTATTTTTCCTGCTAGTAAGAGAGCCTCAGAGTGAAAATATCATCCCACATTTGTCAGTCCAGTTCTCAGATTTGACAGAACCAAAGCCAGCCACCACCCTGTGATCAGCCTTTCAACCAAAATACAAAAAGCAACAGTAAAAGACAAAGATAACAGAGTTTGAAGAATATGTATTTACATTGCCTGGGAAAACTCGGGTGCTTCATCATTCACATTTGAGATGTGGATCCTGACAGTTGCTGTCCCAGTCCTTGGCTCCTCCCCTTGATCTACAGCCATAACGATGAACTCATAAAGGTGGTTGGGTCTCTCGTAGTCCAGCCGTGTTGCTGGGAAAATGGTGCCATGAGAAGTGATGCCAAAGTCTTGACTCAGAGTGTAATACAGCAACTGGGCATTCTCTCCAGAATCACAGTCAGTGGCTGTCACTATTGAAAGAGAAGAGAGGGACATTGTGTAGATCAAAGTTAGTGAATTGGAGTGCTAAGTGCTATAACTACAGCTGCAGTAGGCCCTGCCTTGGCACATGATGCTTGAAATCATTTATAAAACTGTGCTCTCCCCTGTGCTTTTTATTGAACTAGCCCTTACCTGAAAACAAGTTATTTAAAAATAAACAAAAGTGAAGTCCCCAGTGGAATTCAGCCGCTAGTCATGCCTTTGTCTGGTGGATTTAAAGAGCCCTGTGCTATCAAGAACACATTCCCACACAGAGATGTGTATTCTCACATCCACCTGATCCACTGTGCTGACTTCAGATCACTCAAACAGATCACACGCTGTGTAACTAAAGATGGAATATTTACATACGTTATTCAACTGATGCACCTTCTGTGCTTGTCAGTTCCTATCCAAGAACCTGTAAAAATCCATGCTAAAAGCACAGTTACCAGAACAGTAACTACCTACCATCAGTACAGGATAAATCACTAAACAGAACAGTAGGGGGTTATAAAATCCTGTTTACTAGGGAAAGGCAATTTTCCTGTCATTTAATTTCCTTTTCCCCCTCAAGATTTAGAAAAAAAATTTATGTAAGGGTTAAAGACTAATACAAGGCCCTTGTACAACTGCTTAGTTGACGAAAATTTGCATTATTGCTACATTTTACAGAGCACCATCACTTAAAGCTTAAGTTATTGGTTCCATTGGGAAGAAGCAAAGTCTTTTTGTCAAGCATCCAAACAAAACCTCCCACAGAACAGTTAAACTGTATATAAAGCTTTTAATGCAAGAGAGCAGAATTCCTAGATCAAGCCCACAAAGCACTCTCAGAGATGGGCAGAGAAGGTGAGCTGAAGTGTCTGTAATTTCTGATCCAACATCACTCTCTTCCTTCGAGAAACGTAGCAAGATCGCTACTATGAGCCTGCTGCTACAATACCAACCATAACTGCAGTTCTGTTCCTTCAAAATCCAACAGAGAACATCTCTTTGCTTTGTCTCCCTCTCCCCCAGAACTGTTTGGGCTGTGGCAGTAATAAATAACTCTGACACAATTCTACAAGGTGCCATTTGCCTTCAGAGAGCTACAACCACCCATGCCGGGACAGGTAATTTTGGCCTCTGAACTGAATTCTAACTAGTGGGAGGGGAAAAAAAATACACTCAATGTAACAAATGGTTTCAGGATTACTGACCTTGCAGAAGTGCAGTTGTCATAGGAACTGTTTCAGGAACACCGACTTTGCTGTAAATCGACTGATGAAATTCGGGGGCACAATCATTCACATCTGTGATTACAACCAAAACCTTAGTGGAGAGGAGGGAAATGTTAAACAGCAAAGTGAATTAAGGGAACAGCTTCAGTACTCTAGACATATCATGCAGAAGAATTTCCCAAAAACATCCTCGAGGTCTTCAGTAGCTACAGCACACAGGATAAACCATTTTTCTCAGACTGTTCTTTTCCTGCAGAGATATTACATTCCAAGATACCAGGAATTGCCAAGTCCCAGCCCCTGCAGCAATGTTTTTTACCCATCCTTCATCTCCTTAGGTTATTCCCTATTACTAATTTAAAAAAAAATGGACCATCTGCTAGCCAAGCACACTCCTTCCATTATCTTATCTTACACCACTTCTGTGATTCGTAACACTAAAAACTCTACTGCCAAGCATATTGAATTTTAGCAGTAAAAATCCCCAAGACCAAGTTCTGAATTCAAGTAGAGCAGCACAAATCAGATGTAAACTGATCCCCTGGGAAGTGGTCACAGCCCCAAGCCTGACAGAGTTCAGGAAGCACTTGGACAACACTCTCAGGCTCACGGTGTGACTCTTGGGGTGTCCTGTGCAGGGCTAGGAGTTGGACTCGATGATCCTTGTAGCTCCCTTCCAACTCAGAATATTCTGTGGTTCTGGTAAACCAAGACAGAAATACAATTTTGCTTCTAACATCTTTAATGATGCTTTCTTATTCCCGTGTCAAGTATGAGTCCACAACTGCACTGTTTACACTCCAAACAACAAGGAGGGTATAAACTAGCCTGTCTGGCCATTCATCCTGCTGCACTTCAGGCTCTCTGAAGTTGCTTGGGGCATTCTGCATTACAGAGCAACAGGTGGAGCTGTATTCCACCCAGCCTGACAGAGCAGATATGCACAAACTAGAGTTGCTCTCTCTCAATGTTGAGGTTGTTTCAGTGTAAAGCAGGTACAAGTCAAACTACATTCAGGCTAAAAGTATTTGTCAAATCATCTCATAATCCTCGTTCAAGTCATATTCTGCCACTCTCCCCCTTGTGGTGTATTAAAGGGTCAATAGAAACTATCACCTCTGGTGTGCTACAGCCAGTGTTTGTTACACTGACACGCTGATTCCCTGGCTCTGTGTCCTCACACTTGTCCCTAATAATTCTGTGTCCTGCAAAAGGAACAAACTCATACTGCATGCTTTTCCCAGCTCAGTGAATCCATGAATTCAAACAAGTGTAATAACTACATTTGGAAATATTTTTGCTCTCAAAGAGGTTTCTAAAATACCACAAACCGTAATTTTTTTATATCTATGTATGAGTTGTTAGTACTTTTTATTTTTACAAGTTCACTTTGTGGTTTTGATACAAAACAAATAATTTTCTGTTGTGTCTTCGTTTTAAACTGGAACAAATCTTAAACATCACATTGTATGAAGGTTTAGAGTAAGATAAAACCTCATGTCTGGATTGGCTGCATCTGTTCCCACATTTTCCAAGATAATTTCTAGGATCTGTGATGGGAGGGAATACTGATGTCCCAGAAACAACCTCTAGAGCATCTGCAAGAGTGAACTCTAAGAGTATCTCAACCAGTCCTCAACATCTACCCACAGACAGAAAGACTTCTAAAAAGAACAGCAGAACAGCCAGAAATGGGAGCTCCTGGTGAGTTTGTACAGAAATCAAAAGGATGAGGGAAAATGGAATTACACACAGGCTGCCAGAGGGGAGCACCTACCTCAGCAGCACTGCTGAACTGTTCCTCGTTTTCCTCTGCTCTGACCAAAAGAAGATACTGGTGTGGGTCATTTTCATAATCCACACTGCGAGTTAAACTGATCTCTCCTGTTGCCTGATCAATACTGAATAGACCACCAGGATTAGTGAGTAAACTGTAGCTCAGGGATTTCTTTTGATATGACACAGCAGTGACTGTAAGAAAGCTGCATTAAAAAAAAAAAAATAAAAAGAGAGAACTCAAGCATATAATACAATATTCTGAGAAATATGACAAAAACCATGCATATCACAAATGATAGTGCAACCCTGTAGGTCTGCTCTGAGCTATCCTCCCTGAACTCAGTGACAGCTGTATCTAAACACCAAATTCAAACATTTTGTTACACAGTGGTTCTATCACCTTGGGGTTAAACAGATAAAGACAGGATTCTTGGAAGCAGAACACAGTAAGGATTAAAAACACAGGAACAGAGGATTTAATTTTTGCTGCAGCTGAATTTGCCTACTCTAACTTCCCTCTACGGCAGCGATGGTTTTCAGGCAGAGGAAGCTAAAAGATAAAGCAAGATGAAAAAGATTCATTTTAATATCAGCACAGTAAGTTTGCTGCTGCAGTCATACCACCCTGAAGTTCCAACAGATAACTGCAAAAGGATAAGAGCCAGGCCCTAACAGCGTGGGTGTCACAGCTTACACAGGACGTGTTTTTAGCTCTTGTCTGGCACTATCTTTTTCCCATTGAAGTCCAACGTGTTTAAAGCCTTCAAGTGGAGACACTCACAGTATGAAGTAAAAAAGGAAATTAAATACTTTTAAATACATTTAAACCAGCATATTAACTCTCCCAAGTGTCTGTCACCTTATCATGTAGGTTTCTTAGGAAAAAGAATTCCATCTCCCAGGAGAACCCACCAACACGTGTGATCCTGTGACAATTACACTCGGTAAGACAAGACTCATTTTGTGCAAACTCCTTTCCCCCTCTTGTATTTCCATGCTGCTGCCTTCTCACTACCCTCAGGTGCACTACAAACAATAGGAAACATTCCTGTAGGTCATTATCTCACTGAGTTTTCTTCTGTATTTTCCAATGATGTGGTTTCACAGGCAGTTTCAGCCAGTGCCCAGGTCATTCCTGCCACCAGGAGTTCTTTTGCCCTCCTTCCAGCTCCCTGCCCTGGCTTAGAGTTCACACCACCTCTCCTCTCCTGTCAGCACTGAAAACCACAAAGCCATGCTGGGAGCACATTTAACAACCCAACTGAAAAGCTTTTTGTCTTTTTTTGGCTTTGTATTCTCTGGGCTCAGCCTGCCCGTGCAGCTGGAGCTGATTAGCACCAGTGGCAGACCAAAGGAAGAGGGAGATTTGGTAATGCTCCTCTGCTCAGTCCCAGCCTTAAATCAGACTGTAATTAGGAAATCCTAAGCTCAGACATCCAGTGCATGACAGCAACTCTGTTCTCCTGCATATTTGGGTGATTGGTCCAATTTAAATATGAGAATTTTAGGATTCTAAATGGATTTTCAGGGATATTTCTGGTCAACACACCACAGAAACCACTTTCACAGGGTGCACTGTGTACATTCAAACCTTTTCTGATGTAAGAACCACACTAAATACTTAATTCCTTTTGGATATTACCAAGCAATGTAACCAACTGACTAATCTACTATCTTAGGTGCGCAAACCTATTTCTAAATAGTGATAAAAAATAGTTATAAAGAATTTATTTATTTTTAATTCCCAAGACTGCAGGTACCTGTTAGATGTTGTAGTATTTTGCAGTTCTTGAACTCCTTTTATGCCTGTGCAATTTAATTTTATTGTAGTTTTAAAGAAAAACCTTTTTAGCTACTATTAATATTTTACCTTAACAGTCTTTGGTTATTCAGAACTGTAAAACTAAATGTTGTAGATCGAACAGTTAAAATACAACAGAGGTAATGTAATATAAAAAAACCAGTTGAATTGTCACAGAACGAAGACATTTACTGGACAAAAGTATTTTCAATTCACATGGAAGAAGAAATATTTGCTGTAACAAAAAATAGCTCATCAAAGAAGGGACAGAGTATTCAGGTGGATCTACAGGACTAACATTTTCTGTGATATTTCAATCGACATGGTTAGACAAAGGATGGAAAAATAGGATGACAAGTTCTATGGCATCTTCATTTTTGCTCAGTTTGTCACTGTGATGAAGACAGGAGAGCGAGTCTTTTGGTTTTTTTCCAATTTTCACTTTGTAGAACTCAATTCTCCGAATCTGACACATAAAATTATTGTGTTCTTTCTCACAGGATATCTTTCTTCACGATGGAACAGTGCTAATTTGTACTCTGCATTTTGTTTGAAAATTAGGACACAACCAACATCTTCTAATTCTTTCAGTAGCATTTCAAAAAGCAAGGAACCACAATTATTCAACACCACTTCTCTCTATAAAAGGATAACCAAAAAAATACATCATTAAACTGTATCCTGATCACCTCTAATAAGAGAACTAAACTGCTACTCACAGTATCTGCTACGATTCACAAACAATATGAGGGCTTTGGGGAGATGAAAGAGAAGTTCAAACTTGGAGCACAATCTCACGGCAGTGTTTGAGCTGTTACTTACGGTTCTCCTCGTGGTGTGCTCTCAGGGACATACACAAAGTAGGACATGTTGGTGAACTGTGGTGGTCGAAACCCAGCAAGAACAGAAACAGAGGCTGGAGACCCTCTGCTTCCAAGTTTATCTGCTGCCAGTACAGTCAGCAAATACTCCTTGTCCCTCACCAACGGCAAACCTGTTGTTTTAATCCAGCCAGAGTCCTTCTCAACTTCAAATCTGTCTTCACCACCTAAAAAGAATAGGTCCAAAAGCTGCTCTTAGCAACAACATTTTTACTTGACTAAAAAGGAGGAAAATACGGTATCAATTCCCCACTTGGCTTTGGCTTAGGATAAGCATGCACACTAAAGCTCAAAAGTTTGTTTAGAACTTAGAAATTGTTATATTCATGATATTCATGGTTATATTTCTGAATTGTACCTTACTTTTCTGAACAACTGCCACTCTTCTGTATCACAGAATCATAGAATGGTTTGGAAGGGATATTAAAGCTCATCTCATTCCACCCCCTGCCATGGGCAGGGACACCTTCCACCAGCCCAGGTTGCTCCAAGCCCCATCCAACCTGGCCTTGGACACTTCCAGGGATAGGGCAGCCACAGCTTCTCTGGGCAACCTGTGCCAGGGCCTGACCACCTTCATAGGAAGAATTTCTTCCTCATATCTAATCTAACCCTGCACCCTGTCAGTGTAAAGCCATTCCCCCTTGTCCTGTTATTAGATGCCCTTGTAAATCGCCTCTCTCCATCTTTCTTCTATCCTCTAATAATTACTTTGCTGTTGTTTGACCATAAATATCCCACACCCTACTGAAGCCCTGGTCAAGAGGAACAAATCCATCTTTGGAGGGTAATTGCTGCTCCCCTTCTGCTCAGATACTTCTGAACTATTACTAAAGTTTAAGAGACACACAGAAAAATGATCAATGAGTCTGTCACAGCTTTGCACAACCAGGGAAAAACATGGGCAGGAACCCAACTTCACAAAGAAATCTGTCCATACCCTCAATAAAAGCTGGTTTTTCTCACACACAGAGCTGAAGGCTTATGAACCTTTTGCAGGAGGAAGGGAAGGTCTTTCACTAACAAAACTGAGGATAAAAGACAAAAAAGTCACAATAGCAAAGCTTAATACATGGGGAATGGGAGGGTTAAAATCTACCTTCCAAAAGAAAATATTCCACAGTTCCATGGATCCCTTCATCTGCATCCACAGCAAGCAGCTTGTACACTTCAGTACCTCCTGGAGCTTCAGGGGAAACCACAGCCAGGAATGGGAAGGGCTCCATGGCCCACTCGGGGACGTTGTCGTTCACGTCTGTCACAGTGAGGGACACGTGCACCAAGTACCAATCCTTCCCTGGGCGCCACAGAAACATCAAGAAATGATTAGACAGCTACTTAATGGACTCAGAGTAACAGAAACTTAACAATATCTGAGTGATATCCTGCAATATTGTTGGCATTAAATCCAGGAGAAGTCGGGGTTTAAGGTTCTTCTGGAATCAACAGCATCCAGACTGTGGGGAACAAAAAACCAGCACAAGTACTGATGAACTGCAAGAATGAAGCTGTCCATATGACATTCTACTAAGATCTCTCTTTAGGAAAGACCATACATTCTTTTATTTGCCAAATTTAAATACATATTGAAACTTACAAAATTTAACTACAAATAATTTCTAAAAGGTTGTGGGTTTTTTTAAGCTAAAAAAGCATCAGATATGTTTCTATGTAAAGATTACAGCAACTCTGAATTCTGAAATCTAAGTAATTGTTGCCAAAAAAATTCTAACCAATCCACTCTAAGTAGTGATTTGCCATTTTAGAAACTTCACTGAAATCCTAGTATGGTTTTCATTTTTACTCAAGTTTAAATGCTATTAAATCCAAAAAATCAAAATAAACCCCATACATAGAATGGAACTATTCAATTTTTCAAAAATCAACAAGATAGCACCCTTAAAAACCGATAAAAAATTATTTACTATACTTTTGCCATGATTAAATCAACCCATAAAGAGAGCGAAGCTCCTAAACAAGTAATAAATATTAGGCAGGTATTGCTGAAAAGGAGGTAGAAAGGAAACACAAGACAGAGTGTTTTTTTTAACTGATAAATATTATCAGTAACATCAGGGAGTTCAGTATAAATATAACTCAGGTCTTTTGACCAATTTGGCTCCCAGCAGACTGACACTGCACTTGTAATAGTTTTGCTAGAGAAGACAAGGTGAGTGTTCCTGCAATGCATATTTAATGCCTCTGGTCCCAGAAAAGTGATGTATTCACACCCTGAGTGACTCCAAAGGCAGCACAACTGCACTGACACAGCCTGGAATGTGGCCCAGGTAACAAGAGCCATCTACATTTAGGGCATGACTTATCCACAAGTTTCATAATGGATGTAGAGTCAGAGTTGATGGTGTAAATACTTAATTTTAGTATTTATTATTTATACATACATGGAAACATATACACACATGCACTTATTTCCAAAACAGCTTTACAGGAACTGGAACAACATACAGAAAGGAACATCTGAAGTTACCAGTTTTAATTTAAATCTTATTAATAATACAAAGAACTTAGTATTTATAAGACTCTAAAATGTTGTCAAAATATCTAATCTTGTAAACAGTGTTACCTCGCTAAAGAGGTCGATTCTCCCAGGAAGCTGTGCCACTTTGGCTGAACTGCTGTACTTGTTCTTCCTCCCTACTTCCTTAATTGCAGCATTTCATCCCTCTCCAAAAAAACTTCCCTGTTATATCTAAAATCCGTTCCTTTGTGTGACATGTGCATTTACTGATGTTACCCCTTCCCTCCCACATCTTTCACATCAGCCTGTTCAGCTCTTCATACTTAGAAACTGCTGGCCACTGGCAAGCGGCATATTTAGTACAGCATGTCACAATCTGCAATCTAAAAACAACCACAAGGGGATTGTTGTGAACAAAACTCCTCGGTGTTGTGATAGAAAAAGTCAAATGCAAGTTTCTTAGTTTAGATTCCCTGCTGTCACACAAAATTGCCTGTCTCCTCTGAAAAGAACAGGTCTGCTGGAAGCTGCCCCAAGTTTGTAAATACCTCTCTTAGCCTAGTTTGCCTGGGCATTCTGCAGGCTTAAAATAGTGAGCACTAAATTAGAAGCTGAGTTAAGAACCTCTGAAAATCTGCCCCTGTAATAGCAAGACCTATCAAGGATGTGAATGCCACCTAGAAAGATTATTGATGTTTATCTCTCTCAAGTCTGGAAATCACTACCCTAAACAACCCATGAGCTCACTCTGTTACAAGTTCTGCTGAAGTTTTTGACATGCATGTATTCCCCTATCAAAAAACAAGTCCCAGCTGAAGAATGACTCATTTTTATTGAAGAAGTAATAATAATCCTGGATACAAATTCCACTCTTTTCACCTAATGTAAAACCAGTCCACTGAAAATTAATATGCTGGTTCTTACAATACATTTGTAACTGAGGAAGACCACTTGTAAGGAAACTGTGCAAAAGTACATCAGGACTGAGATTAGTCCTCATATGATCTAGCATTTATTGACTGGAAAATAAAAGGACTCAGGCACATTTCTCCACCTACTTCTGTTTTGTTAGTTAAGAAACCTCAATATCATTTTGGTATCTTGGCAGGACCAAAGCTTTCCTAAGTATGCTGATTACCTCTGAAACAAGTGAATAATCCTGAGAATGATGTTAGGATATGCAGCAGGAACTGCACTGCAGGTAATGGAAGAGACAGGCCTGGGTGCCTCTCTTGACCAGCAAGCATTCCCACTGCATATCACCTTACAGATCTGATGGGTATATTACCTTCTTCCATCAACCCCAGACAATCTGATTCATAAGTAAAAAAAGAGTAAATAAATCATCATGATTTCACTTTCAGATAAAGGCAGTCTGGAGGAAAATGACTGTAAGTAAGTTTTCCCTTGACTGCATACCATATATCAAAGCAAGAACTACAGCAGGAACACCGGACAGGGCTGTACTTCTCCACAAATGTGACCTGACAACTTGTAGAAACAACATCAGGGTGTCCAACGAAGCATGATTGGACAAGGACTTGCCAGAGGACAACGAATGTGCTGAAGAGACTGACAGCGACAATAATGTGTAATATGTGGATGTCTAGCAGGGCAATGCATTAAGGATTTCAAAGTACACGTTCGTGAATGTGATTTTTTTTAAGCGTAACTCCCCATCCTAATGAGGGCAGCAAATATTTCTAAGTTTCTCCTTTTTTTACAGTTACCATGACACACACACATTACAAAATGCCGTCCCCTGTGTTTTGTAACCAGCAGAGCTGCTTGTCTATATAATGGACCTTAAACCAGACTTAACTCATTTTTAATAAGGTACATAAAATTAACTTTCTCCCTCCTTTATGACAATTATCTGTGCTTCAAGACAGTGGATGGAAAGAAATTTTAGAGACATACATCTCTCAACAGTTCAGGTATCTCAAGGTATCTCCTTCTAACAAAATATCCCCCTCTGTATCTCGCAGATATATTATACATGTACTTCAGTATATTAATAACAGAACATTATTATGCATCTGCATTCATATATTATGATTAACAGTAGTTTATTAGTAGTATATGTGCAGTAATATTGCTACATTATGGGAGAAAAAATGTTACAATTCCACTCAAATCTTAGCAGAAACAGCTTAAAACTGATAATCCTCTCTGGATTTGGGTTAAGTCCTACAAACACACAGAGAGGTTCTACTTAAATTATCTGTTCCCAATACCAGGTCCTGACAACCAGTGGAGGTACCTGCCACTGTATTCAGCAGTGAGAGTCGACCACTACTGACATGCTAAGTCAGGAATGTGAAACAGGCCTAATTTCCTCAGAGAGAATTTTCAAACTGTTGTGTAACACCACACCAATTAGAATTTCCTCCATATTAAATGCTAGATACTTGACTTTCGAGCCAGGCACACCACAGATACCTGACACAATGTCATCCATTCAAAAGAAATCCTACTAAAAGAATGGTTCTGCTAATTAGATTGCTGGCACACACATGGATTTTGCATTTGACAGATTTTCTTCCCGAGCTTCAGACAACAGAAAAATTTAAATTGCTTTCTCACAGATACTGATCGAGAAGAGATAAAACTCAAAATGGCCCTCACCGCACACAAACACGACAGTAACATAACACTGGATCATCTTATGTCAAAAATCAGTATTTTTAAAAGTCATAGAGAAAATAATACTTCACATTCAAAAGGGTAAAATCATCTTTTTCTATAATCACAAAGTGGTTTTCCTCCTATTTTTCTTCACTATGGAAACTAATGAAAACAGTTTCTGTGAGCAGATTGCTTTTCCCATGTATTTGCAAACACCCTCTGCAGTATGAAGTCTAAGCCCTCTCTACAGCTCTCTTTTCAATTTATACAAAAAACTAAAACTAAAATTATAAACTCTAGTCCAGAGCTTTTTCCTGCTTTAGCCGCTTAATTCCCTATTAGAGTCAACTTGTGTATCATCAAAAATCCTTCTTAGGGCAGCTCATCCTGAAGTCTGCTTTTTTTCTCTCTGATATTCCCTCCAGTTGGAATTACTTCCTTTTAACTTAATATTACTGACAAAAGCTGCAGCACTGAAATTCATTCCCTATCACCAAAATCAATCTTCATAATCCGCTGCTGAAACCTCATCACAGGTATCTGTCTATAATTGCTTATTTTTCATGCCTATCTGTGGTTGGAAACTGATAAACAGAAGGACTTATTATAGTGCCTTACTCTGAATTCCAACTACATTAGGTAAGATAATAAACCAGTTGGCCCAAGTCTCTGCTCATGGGAAATATGGGATATGTCATCACTCACTATTTTCATCCTTTGGGAAAAAAAAAACCAAACCAAACCAAACCAACAAAGAAAACCCACAAGCAAAATACTCAGTAATTTGCTGAGAAGTTTAATCATAGTAAAAATGGAAATAAATGGTAATAAGCCATAAAAAAAGTAGAAAATTTGAGAAGGAGTCTCTAAAACATCTTTCTCAACCCTTCAGATCCACAGAGTTAATGGAATTACTTCTCTACCAATATACTCTGCATAGGAGTTACACATCAGCATAATCTACAGCAGAAGCATTCCAAAGGATGTCAGAGTTTACCTCCACAGTGTTTCTGGGTGTTAAGACTTCCATCATTGTGTGTTGGACCAATTTCAGCACTACACCTCTTTAACCTTCCAATCGCTGTAAAAACCACAGGCTCCCTCAGCTATCTGAGGAAACTGATTTGGTAAAATCAGAGTTACTGTTCATCCAAGAACATTCCTTCCAAGTCCACAAGGTCCATAATACA